GCATGTAGCTAAGCTTTTTTTTTTTTTTTTTTTTCATTAAATAACAACAATCTTGAATACCTCAAAAGAGCTTTGCTGTTAATTTTAATAGATTTTGGAGTCATTACTAAATTAAACATGCTAAATGCATATACTGTTGTTACTGGCTTGTATCCATATTCATCAGTAGTTAACAATGAAAAAGTAAAAAGACCAGAACCAGATGACAATGGCTGTTTTATAATATATGAAGTAGGTGCTGTTTTATAAAACTGTGTTCTCATCAATTGTTTTATTTTACATGTAAAAGAGGTGACGTGTCTGGAAAAATATATTACAAAAATGTATTCATTAGATTAATGAAAAATGTTAATTCGATTTTAATGGAAATACTCCTTGTTCTAAGCAAAGTCAAAGTTTTATTAAGATTTTTGCATTTTGTATTTTGATGACATATTACTTCCACACAAGGAATAATATTTTAACTTAAAGTGAATAAGTGAATAATATGAATACAGAGTGCAATATATATACTGTGTGCATATGGATCTGGATATGGTTCTTGCTCAAATACTTTGCTCTCTGATTATTTTTATTATGTATTTTTAGTGAGTAAGCATTGAATTCTATGAGCGTAGTGAGAAATAGTTTCTGTGTTCCCACTTACCTTTACAGCCCATCTTCAAGCAAATGTATGTGTACATAGTTGACAGAGTAACAGGGGAAATGTGTAGTTTAAGCAGAAAATGTAATGTTATTATCTACATTTCAATTGCTTTTTGGAAAATGAACAAGCAAGATCATGTATGTGCCAAATTTGAATTCATTTAGAACAGAAGACTGGTGTTTATTTCTGTAATTTGTCTGATCAAAACCACTAGGATTCCTGGTCAACAGAACATGGCTGACTCTAGAAAGACTTAATATATTCATATGAATGCTGTAGCTAAAGCAAAAGTGAGGTTATTGTTTGTGCAAGCCAATAATTAACCACAATGTAGACAGGCATCAGCTTAATTTTTGAAACTGTAAGCTCGATGAGGCATTAGGGAAAATAACACTAGAGTTACAAAAGTAAACTCCATTAAAACAAATATACACTATGTCATCTTTCTGTGTTGCCCTTACATGAGCAACATCACTGAATTTCATTTGTTCCTTAGAAACTTTATTTGCCAAGGAAATAAAGGAAATCTTAGGAAAAGGAATACTTATGAAAAAAGGTTATTAACTGACCATCCTAATTCTTTAAAAATTATCTAAAATTATATTTTTTTAATTATGAATCTTTGTTGATGATCTCAGAATGTAACTTCTCAACAGACAGGCCTTATCAGTAAACAGGATTTTAAAGAATTTTACTGAAAAATATAAACAAGTGGAACCTCTGTTTCTTGGACAGAATACAATCTCACGTCAGAGTAACATTAAAAGATTCTGTGTCTTGAAAAAGATCCATAGGTGTCCAACGTCTCTTATGTCAGGACTCACCCCCCAGAGCTAAAGCATTTCAATAAGCTCATATTCCAGTAAACACAAAAATCTATTGTATGTCCGGATTTATCTAGAAACATTTGGACTACACAGTCTCTGAAGCAACCAAACTTACTTACAGCTTCGGCTTCAGCTTACCTGGGAGATCCACACCTCTGTGCCGAAATCAGAAGGCTTTTGATCTAGCAGGCGTGCTGGCTTCCTTCTGGTTTCATACTACAGCTCTGTGTGGCCAAGGACCTCTACACGTACAATGCAACTCAAGAGTCATCTTTTTCTTCTTTGCATTTCCTTCCTAAGCAGCCTGTGCCTGGGCTGTGATGGTGCTTATTTCCCACCAGGTCTCTGTGCGTCCAATCATATCACAGGCCAGTGAGTACATACGAAATGGTCCGTCATTCTGTTTGTTGCCCAGGCTCTGTCTCTCACTGTACAGCAATCTGAGATATATTTATGCCCTCCTCTCTGGAATCCTGAGACAGTCTGCTAAATAGGCAGGGTAGCTCAAAGTGGAATTATTTCTGGGAAATGTCTATGGCTGTGGGAAAGATATTATAGTCATTGTAACTATTAAGTCCTCTCAGGGTCTGGGAGGACAGGTACCAGTGTCAAAGATAAACCAGTGCCATGCTTCTGAATAGGAACAAGAGGTCTAAGATTCCTTCTATGAATGAGTCAGAAGCACTGTTCTCCTATTTGGACAGTCATATTATCAACTTAACGATCTTTTAATGAGTTAAACGTATATGAATTGAGATACTAATACCTGACAAGTTACAGAGAAAAATTTTGCAATCATCTTTTTTAATAAGTAATTATTTTGCAGATCATTTCACTATTGCTTGGAAAATATTAAAGGATTCATCTAGGATTTATTCTACAATTTTCTGAGCTGTTGCAGTTCAGGCATGAGGCCTTCCTTTTCACAGCTAAATTTTTAATACTTTGACCAAAGAATCTCATCAGGCTTAAACTCCCAGTCTACATTCCCATGATGTTAAAAATCACCAAGGTTAGAACTGGAAAAACTTTTGCATCTTGTCTGGAGCAGTGCAAGCCAAAGATGGTTGCTATACCACAGTTGCTAACCTTCTGAATATTCATATGTGTACGAGCTATGCAAATTTATCTGGCTACTAGGGTATAGTTTTATGATGGGAAAATATTTTAATAGATATCTTAAGGTTGATAAATTTGTAGATACTCATCTACTTCTGTTTACAGACGCCAGAAGTTTCGTGATATGCTAATATTACGCCTAAGCCCAGGAAAATCTCATTTCTAATTGATAAGGAAGATTTTTTAAATAGCTTGTTCTTTTCTTCTGTGTTGCTTAAACTATAAGTTTTCAAGCTGGCTAATATGCCATGATATTTTACTTCCTGCAAGATTCAATAAAAGACAGCTAAGCTTAGATTTCTTATATTAAAAGTCCATGTAAACAATTGTACATAACCAGGGATGATCACACAATTGCAAGTGTATGAGAAGCTTATTCCGAAGGCAAGAATAAAAAGGGGTAGTGCTCTGTAGTACTGTGTTAATGAGTGGAGATGGGGGTCCTTATCGGAGAGCTGAGAACTTGTTCAAAGTCATTAAGCTAATGCCATAGGCAGGCTTTTAAATTTACATGGCAATATCCAAACTAATTCTGTTGTAAATAAAAAGCTATTAGTAGTTTTAAAGTATAAACTTTATATATCTAATTGGGATGTTTATCATAGCGAAAATGCAGCATATTCTGTCTCTAGTATTTGTCTGCAAATAATTTCCAAACCAGTTCCATTATTTGCAAATACTGAGTATTTTTAAACTCCAGGCTAATTATTTGTGAATAGTTCATTTCAGTATTCAAAATCTGTGGCTGAGCTTACCCATTGCGGGAATCTAATTTAATATGTTTTAAAAATTGCTTTGCTGAGTCAGAGCTCAGCTAGTATAACCTTTTTAATTGGAAAATAATGGAGAAGAAGTTATAACTGGTGCTTAATGCCTCCTTATAATTACTGAATAAAAGGTGGGGATATTTAAATGAGGTTCTAATTGAATATCAATCACTGAAATCCTTTAAAATGCCATACATGATCTTTGAACACCAATGAGCAAAGTAATTTATTCAGAAGTTGTATACATCTCTGTCATTGTTGAGCTGATTGTAATAGTAATCTGTACTAATAAATTATTTTTATTCCCAGCCCCTTCAAAAACCTTTATAAAATGTCATATGTGTAACTCAGATATTCCTATTTTAGTATACCTCTAAATATTTTTATTAATACTGGAATGAGGAAACCTTTACAATTACTAAATACGGAAGTTTTATATTGTACTGAAAATCTTTAAAAAACAATTAAAATTACAATTTTCAACTTAAGCAAGTTTGTTAGTGCTTTCAGTCTCCTCTAGGCCATTCATATGTTAAAATAATTTTTTGTGATTTATAGGAACTATCCAGATACCAAAATTTCATCTAAACAAATATCTAAGCATGAGGTAGCATTACAGTTTATGAAATATCAATGACAGCAAAGTAATGCTCCTTTGGCAGAAATAAACAATCAAACATTTCAGAAAGCAGAAAGGTATCATTTTTAAAAGGACTGGTAAGGTGAGGTGAGGAAAGGCTGGAGAAAGGATCTGATCTCTACTTATGCTTAAGGTAATGGGGTTTTTGCCATTAACTGTGAATAGTGAATGTCATCGAGCTATTGCATATTAAATCAACAACAAAAGTTTCTTTATGTGTCTTCAGAATCCATCGCATACCCATAGTTAGCTAGCCTTAAAAACACATATAAAGATGAATAGTAATTGACTTTTTACTGTAAAGCTCATTCAGAAGTTTAAACAGAACTGTGTTTTCTTATAAAACAGAATTTTTCTTTAACCTGAAAGATCAAAGAATTTATGTATATATAGCACTGTCTAGCAAATATCAGGGCTGACTAATGAGTGATATTTATTATTAGTAGTAGTAAATTTCATTAACTGGTATTAACTAACATAGTGCTACACTGGCATGTCACCTAAGTTTACAAATGAAAAAGTGTTGCAAAATAGAAAAAGACTGTCTGCGATGTTTAACTCAGAGAGGTCAAGTAAACAGGTAGCTTTTTCATAATTAGATTGCAAACACTAAACATTTAGTCACTGTTACCTGCACATTTGCTGGAAATTATATTAGAAGTCATTAATAGGTCAAGTCTAAGCAGTTTTCCAAAAGCTTTGAAATAATCAGATTTGGCTTTTTTCTTCTGTGTTGCATTTATTAAGGCATGGTTTCCAAGAATACAGTATTTATTTTCTGGAAATGTGACTCAAAATATAGAAGACTTCCAGTTAATATCTAGCTGACAAATCTTATATTGACCTACATTGAGAAGTTTTTGACGGATTTTCAAATGTAATAATATAAAGCAATTGCCAGCTGAATGTCTTCCCACACAAAAAATGGATAAAATATTATTTTTATATGATAAGTGATGATGATGATTGATCTTTCAAACATCATGCCTTTTTTTTTCCAGTCTAAAACATACATGTGCAGTTGGCAAGGGGATAGTCTGTGTTTCACAGTTGACTTTGCTCTGGGATTTACCTGTTTTGACAGTAAAACAAAGGTAAGAGAAAAAAGAAAGGAAAACATAACTCTGTTTTATTTTACTATTATTGGTCTTGTCATTAACCATAATTTTTATGTTGTTCAGTATTAATTTTTTTATGCTGATGTTGAGTACTTCTTGTACTTTTTATTTATACAGCACTACCGAAATTAGTCAGTTTGGAACTAAAAAGGGACAATTATACTTGTGTCTTAGCATGTAAAGATAAATTTTGGAGAAAAATATAAAAAATTAGTTTTCTTTTCAAGTGATAAAAGCAAAGGAAGGTTATACTTAGCAGAGAACTTCCATTCTGAAATTGTTCTTTTTGTGTAATTGTACACATTTTGTGTGTAATCACGAATTACCTACAGAAAGTTATCTCATTACTTTAGGTTACATAAAATACTTCTTTTAAATGTGAAGATTGATTGGGTGTTCTCTCACCTTTAAAATTATGAACTTCTCTATTGATACTGCTTTTTGCAAAATCAGAAAATAAGTCATAGTTAAAATCTACTCCATTCAGTAGAACCAAAATATTACCTATAGGAAGGATAGGACTTAGAGCTGCAGTGACTGTATTCACTATTGATGATGATGAGGATTTAGATCAACCTTTGTTGCTTGCCTAAGCAGAAATACAGAATGTCAGATAGATTGATTCTGTTGTTAAACTGTGAAAATTCCAGAGAGCCAAAGAAATTTATTGTTCATCTGTGTGAGAGATGGCAATGTCTTCTGCATCCTCAAGCCTGAGTAAGGCAGTAATGGGTGGTTTCCGCAGTTCATCTTACTACCCATAATTGTCAGCCAAAGCTAACTGTGTTGACCAACACTCATAGATTTGTCAGAATATATCCTGCCAACAGTGGATAGATTGTTGAAGTGGTCAAGCCATTAACAGTTCATTAGAGACACAGCAATTTTGCTGAAAAACTTTCTTCTCTTGGCATTAATGAATATGAAATTAAAGTCATCTATTGATGCAAATAATGGTCTTACACCAGAGCCAGTGTTCATACAGGCCTATTAAAATGAAGGCCAGTCCCCCATCTGCCCTACGACTCTAAGCCCGGATCTCAAATTTTGGGCAACCAGCTCATGTACTCAATAAAAAAAATCTTCTTTATTACAGTCTGTAATATAATATAAAAAGAGCCTTATTACAAATGGCAAAATAAAAAAGGACAGGAACTTTTGCTTAGGAGTTTAAGTGTCTTTTAGAAACCTCTTCTCTGGAACAGTTTTGGAGGAAAGTTAAACTTGTTTGAAAGAATTACTTCATTTCATACATGTTCTGTTCAAGGGTCATGATGAGCTTAACTCATTCAGCTTTTGCCATTTTGGGTCCATCACAGACATGCTCTTGTGGCCTATAGCTGCTTCATATCTGATTGTAGATGGAGTTTTTTAAGTAGTTGGCTTAGTATGTTCACCTTCCCTATCCTGTGCCTCCAGCCACTCATCCAAGATAAAGGGATCCCAAAGTGTGCATTTTATTCCACCTTCCAGAGCCATCTACTTCTTTTCTTTTGCACTCAATGTCAACTGTTAAGAGAGATGATGACTCCAGCAATGCCTATTATTGCTGAATTGTTCCTAAGGTCTTGTTTCATCTCCCCCCTAGCAGTTACATTATATAGGGAACATTCATCTGTCCTATTTAGATCCAAACTCATTTAAGCTTTGAATACTTTCAGGTGGTCTAATTAGGCCGTCTGGACCCAGTTAAAATCTGTTCATGAATCTAAAGTTTAAGCACCATCACAATGCTGTAGCATAGTTGGGTTTTTCTTTGTATGTTATATTTGTCTAAGTCAATGACATTTATGTCTGCAGGGAACCAGGAGATGGAATCAGGCTTTTTGTGCCTTCTGTAAACACTTTTTTATTTATAGGGCATTCTCTTTCAAAATATGAGAAGGGTTCTGAAGACCACTGATAGCAGTGATCTACATGAAAATAATATTTTGCAATGAGGTATATTGGAAAATGGAGCATAGCAAAAAAAAATTTCTGTATATGCTTATGAAATAGACTTTGAAGTATTTAATTTGTGTTTCCTCAGCAGTGTCCAGAGACTGAATCGTATTTCAACATGTGCATAGAATTTTCATGAAGATTATAAGCACTAAGGAAACATCAGTAGGAAGCTTTAATACAAGTTGTTTCCATGTGTTTTTTTTAAACTTATACCTTTTCAGGCAATCAAAAGAAAACATTCAAATATATACAGAAAATTACATTAGATTAAAAAAATAATTTCCCAGTATTTTTTTTTAAAAAGTGTCTCTATAACTATAAAAACATACCTGTCAATCTAGCATTTGTCAACAGTAGTAAGATGTCATTCATAAACCTGTAGGAGACCAAGAAGCCTAGAATTCTTGTATATTTTATAAACTACTGTATAATGTAGAGCATATTCTTTGTGGTTTGTGAGACTACATTCAATAATAGCATTTTTGCATTTCTATAGCTTATTTTATCTGAAGATTTCAAACCATGTTACACAGATCAGTAAATTCAGCTTTGCAAAATCTGTCTAAGACATTATTATCTACATTTGGCAGATGGGCCAGCTGAAATAGGAAAGATCAAGATATGGTTTGGAATTGTGTTTATAGTGAAACTGGTACAAATAACCTCATGGATCTTTCTAGAATTTTTTGCTATGGTTTTTGGTATTGTGTAGGCAACTGAAATGTTTACATTTCAAAGAATTTCTAAATAATTTTTAATTGGTGAATATTAATATTGTACCTTTTGCTTTCACATATGATACAGAGCTGTTAATTGTATTTGCTCCGCAAACAGTCTGTTATCAGGTGCTTAGTTTACTGCCCTAATATTTTATCTTAATACATAAACATTGATCATCTGTACTTCTAAGTAAGAGTGAGTAACAAAGTCTTTAACCAAATTTATTTCTCTTTAGAACGTACTGTGGAGGTTTAAGTTCTCTCAGCTCAAAGGGTCTTCAGATGATGGGAAAACAAGAGTAAAGCTACTGTTTCAAAATCTAGACACCAAACAAATTGAGACAAAGGTAAGCAATATCCTTTTTCTCAGTTTAGTAAAAAATGAAATTGAATAACTATCAAGACATTCGAAAATCTGCTGCACATGCATATGGTGAACTCCATATTACAATTTAACTTTTTTTCCTATTCTCTAGAAGCTCCACAAGAAACAGAATTGATGTAGTATCTATAGATTAAATTATTTGTAGAAGACTGTTACTGAATTGTATTATGACAGTGTTTCACTCTTTCAGAAAGATGATTTCTGTGAAGTTGTTTAGTCAACCTATAGTAGATATAATATCTAAAACCTGCTTTTAAAAGGGTAAAGGAAAAATAAAACTGTTTAAAAGCTAGATATATTTTTAAGCTGCTGTATAGTAGAATTAAAATTTTAAGCCAATATGTGCTTAAGGTTTGTCAATAAAATAAATTATTATGTGACATTTATTAGTTTATAAAGGGATATTCTTGCAAGAATACTGGCCTGTAGTTGACCAGGTCATCCTTCTTACCCTTTTTGAAGACTGGAGTGACATTAGCTTTCCTCCAGTTCTCAGTCCAGGGCAGGGAGTTTGCTGTGTGCTCTCCTCACTGCTTAAAGGATCTTGAATTCCACCATTTCATGGTGACTGCAGCCAAAGCTGCCCTTGACCTCCTCATTCCCCACCAGCCCCTACTTGTTGGTAAGGTCAAGGTCGAACATACTGCTTCTCCTTATTGGCTCCTCTGTCACTTGGGGAAGGAAGTTATCATCAACGCATTCCATTCCATCCAACTCCTGGACTGCTTACCCTCTGCTTTGCTGTCCCTCCAACAGCTATCAGGATAGTTGAAGTCTCCCATGAGGACCAGGGCTTGTGAACATGAGGCTGCTTCTGTCTTTCTATAGAGGGCCTCATCCACTTGGTCTTCCTGGTTGGGTGGCCTGTAGCAGACCCCCCACTGTAATCTTACCTGTGTCTGCCCTCCCTTTAATCCTGACCTATAAGCCCTTGGTCAGCTCCTCATCCAACCCTAGGAGGAGCTCCATGACTTCCAGCTATATTGACATAGCAACACCACCTCCTTGTCTCCCCTGCCTCTTCTTCCTAAAAAGCTTGTATCATTCCATTCAAACACTCCAGTCACAGGAGGCATCCCACCACATCTCTGTGATGCCAGTAAGATCACAGCCCTGCAGGCATGTGCACATCTCTGACTGCTCTTGTTTATTCTCCATGCTATGTGCATCTGCACAGAGGCATTTAAGTTGGGCTCCTAATGAAGCTGACTTACTGACTGGAGTGACTGGAATTCCTTTGTGCTGCTCTTCACATTCTCACCTGCTGACCTGTGATCCCTCTCCAGACTCTGGACATCTGTTGCTGGCACTGGCATCTAACTGGTAGGAGTGAGATGGATCAAAGTTCCCCTTCACCAACAACTTTAGTTTAAAGCCTTCTTCACCAGCTTGGCAAGTCTATTACTGAAGATGCTTCCTCTTCTCTGACAGATGGACCCCATCAACCCCCACTAGATCAGATTTCTCAAAGCAAGTCCCACAGTCTAAGTAGCCGAATCCCTGACTCCGATACCAGTCCTGTAACCATTTGTGGATTTGCCAGATTTGCCTGGCCCTTTCAAACCGCTTTCCTTTGACTGGGAGGACTCACAAAACAGCCACCTGTGCTCCAGAGTTCCTTACCACCACTCCCAGGGCTCTGTAATCCTTCTTGATTCTCCTCAGACTGTTCCTGGCTGTATCACTGGTGCCCACATGAAACAGTAGATAACTGTTAATAATAGTCAGTGGACTGTACAAGGCCTGGTAGTATCTCAGTGATGTCCCTGATACGAGGCCCCGGTAAGAAGCACACCTTTCTAGTGAGTGCATCAGGTTCGCAAACGGGTGCCTCCATACCTCTCAGAAGAGAGTCGCCTACTACTATCACCCATCACCTTTTCTTAGTTGTGCTGGTTGTTATATGGGAAGCAGATTGGGTTGGTTTACTCAGCTTCATTTTCTCTCCTGATGTGACGGGTCTTCAGCCTCTTCAGTCTACACCGCAGTGAAGTGGTTCTTCAAGGACACCTCAGGCTTCAGGGGATGTCTCTTTCTCCTGCTGGTTCTTGCTGTTGCAAGCTTCCACTCTTCTGCATTGTGAGCCCTCTTCCCTTCTATGTGTGCAGGTGTGGGGGGGTATTTTTAGCTAGTTTGACCATAGGTCCACTGCAGACTTCCCTTGGAGCTATCTGATTCCTGCTATTTAACTCCTTCTTAGCCTCCCTGGTGTTACATATCCTTCTCTCCATCTCCTGCAGCTCAGCCACCTGCTGCAGGAGGTCCTCCCCCTGAGCGCACCTTTAGCAAGCAGGTCTGCCACCTGCCCCTGCCCCAGGAGAAAGGTCTAGGCACTTCATCCTTCTTTCCATTGTGGTAAACAATTTGACTTTTAAAAATTTATTTTATTTTTATTTCTGTGCTCGCTTCAATTGTTTATCATTGATTTTACCTGCATTTTATTCTTTAGGTAAAAAATTAGTAAATTTTAGCATTTTTATGAAAATTTTACTATCTGTAAAATAATGATAAAAATGAGTCCTAATGATAATTCTACCTAATGATAAATTTTGTCCAGGAGACTGATTTGTTAAAACATTAACAATTTTTCTTTTGTATAGCTTTAATTACACCTTGTAATTTGCAAAGTTTTAATGAATATTTGAAATATTTATACCTTGAAATTATCAGATAGAAGATGATACATGATTGGTTCATATAGAATTATAAGTGTATATGTACATAATATATATATGTGTTGTCACTGTTGGAAGAGCCCAGGAAAAGCTCAATAAAGTTCAGAGGAAAGGCTGATACTAAGTAGCTGAGGATTTATCAGAATTTCAGTGGCTATAACTTTTACCACTGCCTCTGCAGTGCAGTGTACTCACTAGGATTTCACATTAAATGGGAGTGGGATACAGCTCTGCAGCCTCTCCACTTTAGATAAGTGGTATATATATTCAGGTACATGTCCACCACTTAAACAGTATTATTTCTTAGACTTCAGAATTACAGATTAGTCAGGAAATAGCCAACACTGATACCCATAGTATAGTAGAATACAGTATCTACCTCAGCTTATTGTACTGAAAAAGATTTCATTAAGCCAGATGGTGCTGTACAGTGAAATGCAGCCAAAAATGAGAAACATAAAATGTCATAAAATGATAAAATTTTCATTTTTCCTAAGTAAATGACCCACTACGTGTGAAATAAAGCTTGATACAGGTGACTTATGTTCACCTGGTAGTAAACAGTAAAGTTAAGTTTGCAAAAAATTGTTCTTCCTGCCTTCAATTCCCTGCAGGGTGAGAACAGGACCTCCCAGTCCCTGCCAACAATTTGTGCCACACTTCTAGAAATTCAGCTCCTTTGAGGTGTCCACCTCTTTTACAAGTAAGGCAAAAATTCCCCACATGCACACATATATGATTTTATCACTTCATTTTTGTAGTAAATCAGAATTATATTTTTAGAAGAGAGACTTAGAAATTTTAAAATTGCAGCATAGCATGTAAATGGATCTGTATGAAGGAGTATCTCTGCAACCATTTTGAGAGGGGGAGGAAAGTGTTTGATTATGAAGTATTCCTGGATTGTGGCATTAATGTGGAGTTCGTATGGGCTGTGGTCAACTCTTCCTTGAATCATCAGTTTGGAATTCTTTGAGGTAGAGATGCCTTTTCACTTCCTTTTGGTGGGGGGCCGTTAAACTCATATACTCTTCAACCAGATGGAGCATGTTGACTACACGTGCCACTTACACATAAGAAGTTCATATGCAAAAAGCTGCTTGTTTTTGTCTTTTCTTAACAGTTACAACTAAAAATAAGACATGAAAACAAGAAGAAAAAACAAATCTGTGAATACTTTAGTAGTAGGGAGAGAGCTGAAGGCATAAAGGCAAGTAATAATTCATAGTTTACTGTGGTAACTGAGCAAATAGTGAAAGAGAAGTATAGGTTACATACTTTTTTGTTTGCTCCAGTTATAAAAAAATGAAATTTCATCCCACATTAAAAGTGACATCAAGGGATTATAAACACATACCAGAATATGGATGGAAAGTGGTTAAAATATTTTAAAATACTAGTTTTTGCAGTACTTAGGAGCTAGTGGAAGTTATGTTTGAGAATTCCAGGTAGGTGGATAATATTACAGAGAATACATAGCAGGTTATTTTTATTTTTATTTTTTAAAAAAAACGGATCAAGGGGAAACAGGGAGACTTACAGACCAGTTGGCTCAACTTTGGGAGTAGAAAAATAACAAGATTATTAAATAAACACCAAGATTATTAAGCAAATAATTTTTAATTATAGAGAGAAAAATAAAGAAGTAGGAAACTAAAAGTGATAGGTGGAGTTTTGAGATAAGACTACAGCAAAATTGTCTCATTTTCATTTTATAACAGGCTCACTACTCTGGTGGTAAACAACTCATCTGATCTGTCTTGAATTTATTAAGGCTTAAATATAGTCCCTCATAATGTTCTTATAAATAATTTTGGTAAATAGTACCTAAGTTACCATAAAAAAGGTGAGAGTGATTGAAAAAAAAAATTAAATTAAATTCCATCATTTGCTTCCAAAATGGAAGACTATAACATGCCCAAATTTCTCTGATCCAGATTCAAACTTCTTTAATTTCCTTCCTGGTGAAAGTCTGAAGCTGGAGCATGCTCAGTGAAAATTATATCTTTATATAAATTCTCCAAGTAAATCTTCCGGTGAGCAAATGTGAGCAGATTTCACAGAAACAGTAAAAAGCAACACCCTGATGCAAAACTCATCTTCCTGACAAATTTCAGTGTCTCAGCAGTGAGTAAAAAAACAGTAAAAGACAGTATGGTAAATATAAACCAAAATATTTATATTTGGCAAAGTTGTATATACCTTATGTACCTGAATACAGGATCCAGTGTTGAGAAATTACAGGTAATCTTAATAATAGTCGGTATTCTTAGCCTATATGACATGTACCCTGAATTTTCAAGGTCGTTAAAAAAATAAAAATAAAACATTAAGAATTCCACCATTGCATTGACGCTTTATCTCTCTTAGCTAAACTGTAGCTACCTGAAAGATAAGACTTTTTTTTCCAACCATATTTTAATTGAGCATTTCCCTTTTCTTCTCGTCTTATTTTTTTTGATCCTTTTATACTCTGTGGAAAATATTAGATGGAAATATATTTTAACAGTTCATTCACCCTGGGAATGGAAAGAGAGTTTATTTATCTTTCTTTGCAGCATCTTCTCTTTGACTAACTTTGTCTCAAATATTTCATTGGAGAAAGAAAGAAAAGAAATCATAGACTATTGTAAGCCATATTAAAGATTCAACTAAATGTTGCTGGTCTCATATGCTTCTTGTCTGTTACACACATAAATTAAAAGCCCTGCATATTTATCTGAGAGCATTCAGTATGTTTTCTTCACTGACTTCAAGCCTTAACTATGTAACAGTGGTACAATGTGAACTGATTTTGCAATTAGACTCTGCAGCAGTATTGCAGTAAATCCTGGTCTCTTTAAAACAAGTCAACTTCTAGGACAGTGATCAAGGACAGGTCAGCAAAGATGCTTCTTTTTTTAGATTTACTGTATTCATCCAAGGGAATATTTATTCCATATTAGTACTGTTGAGAGATACGGCAAATTAAGGAGTCTCCAAGCAAAGATCTCTGCAGCAACAATTTTCTCTAGCACTCAAGCCCTTCTGTATTGTTATTAAAATGGGTCTTTTGTTGCTGAAGTCTGGCAGTTTAATACTGAACATCTTGAGAACTTGAAAAATATTTGCAAGATGATGGTAGATAAGAGTTAAGATTTTGCCTGTGTCACAATATTGGATAGTCAGATTGCTGATGGAAATTTATTTTCATATTTTCTGGAATGGATTAATTTAGTTGGCTGCTTTTAGACAAGCATCTCCATAACAACTTTTCAGATGAGTTTCTGGTGCATTAGCAAAGTTTGCATCTGCCAATGCTACATTTAAAAGTGTTTCATATTTAGCAGTAGAGAGTAACACTTGGAATCACTCAAGCTGAAAGTGAAAAGCCATCTGACTCTTCCAGACCCCTGTAGGACACTTAAAAGATGTAAGTACAATTGATAGCTGGAGCTGCAATTCATCTGGCACTGAATGTTGGCATCACAGATCTGGTTCTTATACTTGCAGGATAAGAGCACCACTTCAGCTTATCCTTCTGATCTTTGTACAAATGATAGTCACAAAGAGGAGGCCAAATAAAAGTTTATAGCTGAAGAAGCTTTCATAACACAACTGATAATTTATCTTTGCATGCTTATAACAGTCATAACAAGCTGTGCAATACTAATATATTTGTTCCTCTCTACCATGATATGGCAAACAAGCCCTGGTATACTTGCTGAGATATAGAACTGAGTTTAGAATTTCCCTTCCAATTTTGACTTTCATATGGACAGGAGCTAAAACGCAGATATCTTTATCTGTTCTTTTTTTACGAAAGAGATGATTAACATTTCAATCTGATTGAAATAATATGCCAAAGAACACAGTAGTAATAGTTGTGCTCTTGTCAACAGCTAATAAACACTAAGGCTTACCAATGTCCTTAAAGAAGTCATGAAATGCACAGGGCACAATAACACTATCTGTCAGTGTCTCCATTATCTGCCTTTATGTGATAAAGGCTCACGTCTTGTTCAAATAGTGATTCAACAGCTCTTGGAAGTAATCAATAAAATTAAGTGTGTGCGTTGTAATGATGCAACAGGCCTGTCAAGCTGTTTTTGATATGTAATAAATCCACCTCTCATGGGTGGGTAGATGAAACAAGAACATCCATTTTTCTTACTTGGCTGTGCACTTGGCAGTGGTTGAGGTCAGTACAGTGTGCACATTTTTTATATTCTCAGTACCAGCAGTCGGTTTTGCAGTCTTGTCCTCCCACTGCTCTAATCCAGTCTTTTATGTTCTTCTCTTGGTGTCTTCCTTCTAGTGCCTTTGTTGTGCTTATCCACTTATTAGAATACATATGGTAAACTGAAATAGCTTTGGTTATTGAAATATTAGGCATGCACAGATTCTTCTAAATACACCAAAAATAGTCTGACAATCTTAGTTAAAGAAAAAACCAGCAATCACAGTTAATGCAAGCAAGCATAAGGGTGGTGTTAGAGGGTATAGAAAAATAAAACAATTGGCCACTCACTCATCTGCCTGACTGAGTATTGAGACAAATGTTAAAAAAAAAATAATCAAAGCAATTCATTGTTTGAAAGAAGTGTCATTGTTGTTATTTTCTAGGAAAAATCCACATTACGTTCTAAAGAGGCCAAATTTCCACCCTTAAAACCATATTCAAGGTAGTCTCTTACTAAGGGACTTTTTGTGGCCATGTCCTCTGACTATGCAACATCAACACTGCCCCAAGCCAGAAGGTCACCCATATCTTTTACCAAATTCATATTTCCAAACTAACCCCCAGTCCTCTTCCCCTTTCCCTGTTGTAATCTGCATGCAAACTATATCCACCACCAGAACACCAGTTTTCTGAGCAACCTGTATCCTGAGCCTGCACAAATATGAACCCAAACTTCTCCTTTGGATGTATGGGACTGTTCCTCAACATCTGCACCTAACCAGCCAGCTTCAGGATTGTAAAGGCAGCCAGCACAGACATCAAACATCCTTCAAACACAAAGTACCACAGCCTTACCCCCGTCTGTGATCTCCTGGGTCAAATACTACTGTGATGATCCTACCAAGACAAATTATTATATGCATCTAAAAGTATCTGCTTACATTTTCTTTGCAGGACCTAGGGGCTGAAAGTGCTGTTCTGCTAGGCTTCTGTGCACACTGAGCAAGCGCTATAAGGAGGATAGCTTGGTGCCAAAACCTTTTCTGTTCCAAGGCGTGAGAAGGTCTTTCCTGGTGGTTTTTGTGGATGTTTCATATAGGATAAAGGCATTTGTAAGGCCTGTTACACCACAGGAAGAGCATATCTCAGGAGCTTGTTGATTGCCATTCTATTACTCTTATTGTCCAGTAATATTGCTTATTGTCACCTTATGCTGGGGAGAGTAGAGAGTAGCAGCAAATTACATTTTTCTGGGAATAATAAAATAATAAAGGGTGTGATGGTGAGCTTTGCCGGAAGAGTAACTTTGAGTTCCAGATATTCTGTTTGAGGCAATTTTGTTGAGAAGATATCATAAAATATTGTAATAGGAAAAGCAAAAGTCCAGTGCTTTGCTTTTTGTTTAAAGGCAAGTATACAGAGTGTGCCTCAATAAAGTACTATGATGTAGCAACATTTTGAAAACAAATGTCTTCTTCCCAAGCAAAAACTGTCCCAAGTATCCCCACAATATATTTACTAGTTTCAGACTTTACAAATAGTAGTATCATGTAAATTGAGCACATTTCTTATATTGTATTTATTGTCATTGTGTCAGAATATCACTCCATTTCCGTCTGGGGAGTTTGGGAAAAAGAAATTTAACTTGTGCACAGAAGATGAAATATGTTATAAAAAGTCAGAAGAATCTGAGAACTGGTTAGCAGTAACTCTGTTTCTTTGTGAATTAGGGCATATGAATTTCATACCCAGCCATATTTCTATATTTCTATATGCAGGCTGTAGTGTGACTTTATCTTAGCTTTCATCATTGCTATGGCCTCCCAGGTTGCTTATCTGACTGTCCTTCAGACTATGTCAAAGCATGTGTCCCCTCATCCTCCCCAGACTTTTAACTTTACAGTTCCCTATAGGGATTCAAATTTTCATTTAAAGTTCATTGCTGTTTGTTGACTAATCTGTTCTGTATTTATGTAAAATGTTTATAAACCCAGATATGAATTCACGTTTTTTCTTCCTTTCTTTTTCTTACTTCCTTTTTCAGGAGCTTGAATTTCAGGATCTGACGGCAGTTTTACACTGTATTCACTCCTTTATAGCAGCAAAAGTGGCATCTGTGGATCCAGTATTCATAGACAGTCAGAGTATTGCAAGAAAATATATGTACAGTAACTGATACCAGATTATATGTTGTGAATATGGAAAATAAATTATTTTCTTAAAGAAAGTAGTTATTTCATGCACGACATTGCAACTTTGTGATTTTATAAGAAATCTATAGTTGTGTTATCTGTAACGTTAAGAGTTTTCACAATCAGTTAAATGTTTTTAATCTATGAGTTAGTAAATATTAAGTCAAACTGAATCAGTTTGTCATCTTCAGCATTAGTCCAAAACTCTAAGTGAATATTCAATAATATTTGTGGTATCATTTTAACTTTGGCTTTCATGGTCATACATACTCCCCATTATTAGACAGAAACAAGAAATAACATGTCAAAAGTCTGTGTCCAAAATTTGCTCCTTAAGTTTATTTTGAAAAGTGCTGGAGACACAGACAATTTCTACAGCCTTCACTGTAGCAAAAAACTTGAAGACAACTGCCATAGGAACTGAACTTTTATTGTGCTTCTATATGTCTGAAAAATTATTGTTCCATGGTCCAGTTCTTTCAAGACCTGAGAGTTTAGCTCTGGGAAAACACTGAGTACTCTATTGCAGATCAAGGAAAGGACTTCAGCACACACTTGGCCCTAAGCATATAAAGTAGCCCCAGTGTATGCACAAGGTAATGTTAAGTATGTATTTAAATACCGTGGTAGATCAACTAAAGAGCATTAGACTCTGCTAAGAAGCCTAACTATAGGCAGTCAGTTTTAGAAAACTTGGCATAGGTTTTCTTATCTATTAATAAAGCTTCCATTAATCATTCATTTGTTCATTCATAGATTGCCTTGATGCTATACTGTGATGTGATGCTCTGTATGGTTGAGAAAGCTTTAACTGTTTTGTTTGGAGGAGAGTGTTCCCAGTATAGGGTAAACATAACAAAACATAATGATGTTTCTGGGCTATCTACCTTCTTTTTTTTCCCTA